TGAGGCCTTGTTAGGCATCATTAATTTTTGACTAGTAATTATATCCTTCTTCATATTTCATTAGATGAAGCATTGTCAGTCATTTTAACTAGCATTTACTTTCATCTTGATCATTTTTTTTAAATTGCTTTTTATTGCAAGCATCAATCTATGTCAATGAGCAGAATTGGAAATACGAGATAATCTGTCAGTGAGATGATCACTCAGTGTTATATTTCTTATTTGGCATTAGTAGTATTAGTTGCAGAAATTGTATCTTTATTTTTTTTATTAGAAGAAATATTGTTGATTATTATTTTTAATTCTAACCTGAATTTATGGTTTCATCTTTACAACAATAATAAAAATGGTTAATAATGCTTTATCTAATAAAAAAAAAAAAATGAGGGTACGACTACCAGATACATTTAGAATATTAGTATTGTAGCAATAATAGAATTTTTTTTTGTTCAACAAAATCTGTTTTCTCTAAGGAAAATAGTTTCCATGAAAATAATTGCCTTCATAAACAAAATGGCAGCTATCCAAGGCTGTAAACACATTGCTCTGGCTGCACAGGGAGTGAAATGAGTATTAGCATGGAAAATGGAATTCTTGAGTAGGGTTCAAATTCTAACACAGTGTTTCATTTACTTCATACTAATACTCTTGGAAAAAGTAAGACTCCATCTTCCACCAGCTATGAGCTAAATAGTAGTTCAAACTGGGCCATCTTGTAATGGGGGCCTACCAATCTAGAATGAAAACTTCCATCATTCAGCCATAACCAAGTCAAGAAAAGGCTATGGAAGTAAATTCAAAGGTCAAATTGTGTAATGTTTAACAATGTGGAAAGCAGAATCAACAGTCCAAGGTCAAATTGCAACCTTGTCTATTGTATTCTAATGCCACTGAGAAAGGTAGGAATTCATATCTTCTCCAACTTTGGGTTAAAAAGCAAGTCAGACTGATCCCTTTTGCTTTGTATGGCTGTATGTCTAAGAGAAGAAAAACTGAATACAAACCATGGAGATGGCATTGGCAAATTACTCCAGCTTTCACTTGAAGTTATGGGCAATTCAGAGATAATTTGAAAGAACAAAAAAAAAAAAAAATAATAATTTGTGGAGACCCATGATCATCCTGAAGGAATATTGGCATTAAGAAAAAACAAAAAGTCAACTGTCTATCAATACTGACACATCTACCTACAACAAAGATGTAGGCTTTCTGTTAGTAGAATGGACAATCAGAACACAAGTTCAAAGAATTTTCTTGTTATGTTCAAATACAGTGGCTTAAAACACAAGATAAAATATAACCAATTCCTTGGAAGCTGTGAGTTTAATCACTGGGTGTGGTGGTGCTAAAAATTCATATACTCTGGTTCAGTGGAAGAAAAAGGCAAATGACACAATGGAGGCATGTTGGAGTAATGGATAGCAGCTCAGATTGAGGAATCGGAGAGAGCCGAGTTCGAATTCCAGTCAAATCCATTACATTCACTTACATGCTAATATCCTTGGGAAAGGTATGAATCCTCCTCTTCTCCCCCCAGCTATGGATAAATAGCAGGACAGACCGGGTTCTATAGCCTTGGATGACAACTGGTCTACTGCAGAAAAAAATGGCAACCTACTGCAGGAAAAATTCTGCCTCGTCAGTCATGTATCAAAAGATACATGATTGCCTAAGTGTGTATCATGCATAGCACATAACTGAGTATTAACTGATAGGAGTTATCTCCCCTAAGCATTAACTGATGAGTTATCACCCCTAAGAATGAAAAGCAGAATAAAATCAATCCATTTTTTTTGTGGCTTAATAATAAATAAATAAATAATTAATTTATTATTACATGAATGTACTGAAATATTCTACGCCTAACCAAGAAAGGATTAAAGAATTTGTGTTTTGTCATTTGGTTAAATTTTATGAACTGGGTTCAACCACGAACATCTCAACATACACCTTGTGTTATTGCAGCTTTTTATCAAAACATTATTCTTCTGGTGTTGAATGCAAGTTCACAGCTTGTCAGAAGCTATGAGCTCATTTTTGATTTTGCTTAGAGTTTATTGACAAGATAAAAAGCAAGAACAACATTGTATCAAACAATAAAAAAGAGGTTGTGATAAAATCTGCAATAATAAAATGGAATGAAACTAGTAATAAAATAAAGGTTGGGATAAAAAGCAACAATAATAATACTAAGGACCTCCACAAAAAAAAAAAAAAAGGCGATACCTAAGGTTTAAAATTAATTTTAACAAATGAAAAATCTTTCTTGAAGATTTTATTTTAATTTTAATTTCAAGCTAATAGGTTAAATTTAATTAATATTTGGCTGTATTTCAAAAACTAATTTAAATTGACTGGAAGAAAAAAATTTTTTTTTTTTTTTTTGATAAAATAGCTGATTATCGCCCTTCTTTGATAGTCTTTCATCCCAATAAAATTTACTTTATTAAAAAATCTGAAACTTTGAGGAATATTAATTTAAAGTATAATTAATCTGATATGGAACAAATATTATTTAAGTTTAAAATATTGCAGGAATGCATTTATTAACCTGACAGTAGCAGTGGCAAAGTGTTTGATGTGATGACAGATCTAATATTATTCTATGGAAACTTTATCTGTAAAACACAAGTGAAGAAAATGATGTGAGTGCCTTTTTCATTTCATTTTTAAGTACTCAGCAATCTTAAAAAATATTCTCCATAAGCCGTTTTGTTGAATTTTAGAAATTTGGGCTTTAAATTTACTATAGCTATCGCTCTTATTTTCTGATAATGTCAAGTATGGTCACATGTACTTACAAAAAATGATACTTTTATACACTAATAAAAAAAAAAATTTTTAATTATTTTTAAAATATTGATGTTTGATGATTTGTATTAAGCTTTTCCATTTATGATTAGTAAATATAGTTTTCACTTAATATCTAAAACTTTAATTTTTCTAATTAAAAAAAAAAAAAAAAAATTTTTGTAAAAATTCATTATTCATTGAAAGAAATTTTTTATCAAGACAATATATCTTATTTACAAAAGCAATTTTCTAAAAGCCTTTTCTAATTTAATAATATATGTTTTATTATGTAGCCCCAGGGTCAACCATGGTTAATAATAACCAATAATAGCCCACACCCACTGCATTGATCTTCAAGTTTCTTCAGATCATTGCAGTTATCATCTAGCTGACTCTTTAATGCAACATGGCTCGTTTGTCACTGGTATAGTGATGATAGGCACAGTTCCACTCTATTTAGCTGGCATTTGTTCACAACCATTCTCTTCTATACTATGTTGTGTTTTTTTGATCTCCGAGAGTGAGAAGATTGCTGATGAACCAATTAAAAAGTGAAGATGGGCCAACAGCTGAGATCTACACAAAAAAGAATCCTTTGGAATAAAGAATTAACTCTGGTTAAAAATGTAACAACAATTTGATTTATATATGGTAACTTAAATTCTTAAGTTCTGGTTTTCAGGGCCTGCACAATGACTTGGTCAGGAGGTCTCAGCAAATGATGTGTATTCTAGTAGCAGTAATGTGGGGCTTCTTCTAGTTGTCCAAACCTACAGTTTATATGGAGTTCTGCATCTTACAGGGGTGGGGTTGACCAGGGTCTGAGTTCAGTTGTCTTCTACCTTTAGCATCTACCCTTCTTCTAAAATTTCATATTCTAAAAATATATTTACTCGAGTGGTTCTCCAAATATGAGGTTGTCCAGCCCCCTTTTGAGAGTGGTCAGAGAAACCAAGCTACCCCTTGACTCCAATTCCTTCCTGTCTCATCAGCAGGAAGTGGGGAAGGATGAATAGTCTTGGTTTTTTTTTTCACTCTTACTGAATTCCATAGACAGAGTTAAATTTGGGTTCAGTTCTCCTTGGAATTATTTTAAAACATGATTTTTAAATACATTTCATTTCTAATTTTTTTTCTCAACTTTTCGGCCGATCTTTCTGTGAATTCATAGACTCTTTCCTCTTCCTTCTTTCTTTCTTTTTTGGTTGATCAACTCTTGAAGATCCCAGTGCTACAATTGCATTTTTTTTATTTTACGATTCAGAGCAGGTTTTCAGTAAATGGTATTTCTGTTTGACAAAAACAAATTGATGATTTAAATTCTCCAAGTAGTCCTGCTTTTAACCGATATAAATATGAAGATCCTAAAATTTTAATTTTTTACTTCATAAAAGTATATAAGTGTTGGTTAACAGATGTAAAAAAAAAAAAAAAAAAAAATTTACCAAGATAATTTCATTCATTTGTGAATAGGTCCTGAATATTTAATTAAAATCCGACAATTATTTGATTTCTGCAAGAATTTTCAAAACTGTGTTTTTAATGCAAAAAACACTAAATTCCTCATACTAATCTTTGACCTATGCAAGAACAAGATTTTTAACTAAAATCTCGACCGTAATAGAAGAGATTAAAAAATTCAATAAAATAATAAAATAGTTTGGCCTTTCCTCTTAATAATATTATTTTGATGATAAAACTTTTATTTTTATCAAATTTGTGGCCTTTTTCATTATGTTATGCACTTTAGAAAATTTTTGGAGGTAACTAAATAAAACTAATAAAATAATAATAGAAGTTTGAGATAAAAAAAAAAAAAAAAGATGAAATAAAACTAGTCATAAAATAATATTAGAGGATTGTGATAAAAAGCTACAATCTGATGGAACAAAAATAAAAGTAGTAATAAAACAACAGTGAAAATGTTTACATGAAAAAATAAAATAAGGATGGGGGTGGGGGGACATTTTATTCCACCCATGAATATACTGTTCTCACCTATTGCTTTTCTCTTGTGATGTCCTCTTTGGCAATTTAAACTTGCAACAACTTTCTATAAATTGCCTCCACATCCGCTTTCATGATTTTTAAACAACTAAGGACAAGGAAGTGCCATCTTTACCAACTCGGCTATTATTGCCTGTGCATGCTTTCAAAAGCAATCATGACTGACAAGAAAGTGAAAACGTAATTTTCTAAAATAATCATCACCGGCGTTTTTTATTTTTTTCTTTTCTTTTTACATTTGCTTTCAGTGATCGTTTGTCTTTTTTGAGTCGTTTGTCAACAACTTTGTAAGGTCCTTTAGGTTTACTTCCACGAGTGCCGCCACCTCTTTTGGCAACGACATATGAGGTTTCCTTCTTCTTTTTACCCAAAAGGCCAGCCTTTTTATAAATACTGCAAGAGGAAAAGAAAAATGATATTAAAATGAGAATGGATTTAAAGAATACAAAAAAAAAAAGAGGGAGAAAGAAATGCATAAGAGAAAAGGGGAAAAAAAGAAAAGAAAAAATAAACCTTTAGTATAAAGAGCTTGAAAGAAAACTTTCTTTTGCCTTGAAGAATTATGTCTTTAAGAAAGAGTTAAACACAATCAGAATCACGTTTAATTTTTAGGTCTATAAGCTAAAAAACACTAAAATATACAAGGAAATGGAGAAAATGTAAATTGCCATAAACAAAACAAGGGAAATAACTCCAGAAATTTATCGCCTCCTTCAATGAGATTGAGTTTCCATACAGGAAACATTCACTGACTGAACAGATAACATTACTGTCAGTTGAAATTTATAAAATATTTCTCTAAAAAATAGTTTTTCAAGAAAATAGATTTCTCAAGCACACTAACTTATCTCTCTTTCTAGTCTTGATGGGGGGAGGGTCCTTCCTAAGCTTTTGTTTAAAGTCATGTGAAAAATCAACATGTTGATTATATCATCATTTTCATGTTACATGCAATATGTATTATAATTTTGCTGCTGTTGAAAGTTTTCAAGTGATGAGATTTCTGTTATTTAGTAAAGTCCTTTGCAATTCTGTAGTGCCAGTCAACAAGATCTTTTTTTTTTTTTAATCAATCACCTGAGAAAACTGACATTTCTGAATGAGTTGGATGCCATGCACAATATCCATATGAAAGTCTTGATCTGAAAAGCTATATAAGAATGTTTTGGTTTAATAGTATCTTGCAATATTGGACAAATCTACCTCTAGCACAGTTTAACTCCATGTTCAATATTCTTATTTCCTATGCTAAATTTATAATAACTTAACCCTACACCAAGGTATTTGGAGCATTTAGAATTTATTGATTCCACATCCTGAATTGTTTATAACGGATTCAAGATATGTGCCATCATTGCTTTCATTCCAATTCTGGATCATAATTTCTGTTTTGAAAAGCTTTTAACCAGACCCCTACTCCTCAGAAAGCTTAAAACATGTCTTTTTTTTGTTAATGCTATTTTTAATAGAACGCATTTCAAATAGATTCAGTAAAAAGATCAGTAGTCCCCTATAAAATCCAATATTAATAATGGGTTTCTAAAAAGAAATCTCAAATGTAAGTTTATAAAACTTCCAATATAAATTTCTACCCATAAGCCATTAATGCTCACTGCCCCATTTTTGAGACATTGTACAATGATAGGTTAATTTATATTAATTAAAGAGATCCACTTCCCACATGTACACTATTTACAACCACGATGGATGAGAATCTAATGGAATGGAGAAAAATAAAGACAATTTAATCACTAACTGTATTGTTATAGAAAACGTATATTTTTGTGTGAATTAACAAAATGTTGAATTTTTTCTAAATTGTCATAGTTGTATGCATAGATTCAAGGCCAAATACTGATCCATATGCAAATAGTACCAGTCAAAAAGGACATGACTGATCGGTGATAAAATTCATTTACAGATATTGTAGCAGTCTATCTGAATAATGTATAAAAACCTAAAGAGAAAAATAATAACAGCAATAATATATATTATGATGGACTCTCCTGTTGATTTGATGTATGACGGCTTGACAGTGTCCTTTCAGTTCATTTTTTTTTTGTTTATGCCTTAACCGCTCCACGCTAGTTATTTTGGGAAAAACGTTTCATTTTCAAAACAAATTGTTTTTTATTTGTTTTTAATATAGTAACTAAGAAACTGAAGCAACTTGAAATACCCGAGCAGTGGCTAAAACCTCTACTAGCCATATGAGTTGACCACTAGATTCATTTCAAGCTCTGATGGGCACAAAAAGAATCAAGATTAACATATAAACACATCTGTAGCTGATTTATGTACATTATGTTTTGGACGTGTTTGTTTGTCCATGTCTGAAAAAGACACTTTCAGAAAAACGTATATATGCATCTACACCGGAAAAGGGGTTAAATGTCACTTCAGTGGAGCTACTGATCAATCTGCATTTAATGTAGATGGCAACATTTTGAATGGAGCAGGTTGGAAGATTTGATCAAATCAAGATAGATATTAGATCATGAAGATGGACCAAATCATATTCTTCTGTTATGTGGCAGGTTTATTTATTGGCACTGATTATCTAACTACTAAAATGGGATCAGGTAGCAGGACTGAGTAATAAGTAACAATATATATATATATATATATATATATATATATAAATTTGTTTGAAAATTATAACAAACATGTTATAAAATCATTACAAAAATAGCCATTTTGTTTCAACACTTCTGGTGCCTTATCAAGTGATGGTGTTGAATTCAACAGATAAGACACCAGAAGTGTTGAAACAAAATGGCTATTTTTGTAATGATTTCATAACATTTATGTTATAATTTTCAAACAAATTATATTTGCTCTACTCTGTCTCCATTTCCCACAGTCAGCAGCTAGGGCTTCAAACAAAGTAAGAGGCACATCAAGAGATTTTTGATTGTACTTCAGTTTGTCTTTATGTGAGTAGTGGTGTGCCTACATTATGTGCACCATCCCGAAGCCGATTGTGTAATAACAGTACTTTAGGTATGTAGTTCTCAGTCCCACCGATGTTGTACCTTGTAAATAGCTCAGCATTGGGGACGTTGTCAGAAAGTGCACAACCACGGATAGAGTAAAAGACTGTTTGTGGAAGCCATCAAGCTTATGAATGCATCGGCTGTAAAGTGTCCATGATATTAAACTGTATAAGAGTGTTGTCAGTACCAATACACGGCAAACTGCAACTTTTGTTTCGAGGGATATACCTCTGACACTCCATAAACAAAAATGTAGTATGTCAAACGAAGGAAAATCGGGATTCCTAGAAAAATGAGTGACCTCTTTTATATATATCAATTTATGAAGTAAGGAGTTTGTCCCCTTGAAGAATTTTTAACTATCAGTTTTCAGAACTACTTTGCTTCCCAAATTTAAATTTTGTTAGTTCAAAATCATAAGCTGAAGATCTTTAATGGACTGCATCAACATTTCTTATGACAAGGATAAATAAGAAAACAGATTCCAATAACTCTTGTTCTCACATCGGTAGTAACCGTCTTGTGATTTTGTTAGATTTTACTTGATAATCACTTATCAAAATTAATAAAACCAACATATTTTGTCTTTTGTTACTCTAAACCAGTATTCCTCAACCTTTTTAAGAAACGGCACACTTAGGAGCAAATGAAAATATTACGGCACACTTAGCCACATTTTTAAAGGGTATGCATTTAAATGTTATGAAAAAAAACCATAGATTAAAAAAAAAATAATACACACACAAATATGAACTTACTTTATTTCAATGTTTCTATTCAACTATTTGTAGGGCTTATTTAGTGTGAAAACTGTGCCTGGTGTTTTTTTTTCACAATTTCTTCAATATGCCGTGAAAACATTTCATGGCACACTAGTTAAGAATTAAAGCGCTACACGATCCTTGCCCCTTGATCACCCCACTAAGCCTTTGCGCGCTCTGTTCAGCCATCCATTTACTCGCTTATTAAGTAGGTTACTCATTATTTGCTTATCTTGTCTTCAGTATGCCCTGTAAGTATTAAATACAATAAGCATCCTTTCCTCATTATCAGCCCAAAAACTTCAGCTACCTTTTCTTGGTCTAGTTCTACTATGAACTCCATTCATTATTAGAATCCTGATTAATTTTAGTTATATGACTTGACAAGCTGATTGTCTGATTTATTCATTCATTTGCAACCAGCTTCTTTAGAAGCACTAAGATTGGTCTAATGAGGTTCTTTGATATTTCACCTCAGTTATATATTTATTACTTCAGTAACCTTGAACTAACAAAAATAATTTACTTACTCTTTAATTTTCATCCATTTTTCTCGTTCCGAAGTGTCAACCGCATCTGTAATACCTTCAGCTTTCTTGCGTACTTTCTCAAGTTTTTTCATAGACTAAAAAAATTAAAAAAAGTATTATTTAATATCGAAAGTAAACAAAAGTGGGAGAATTGATAGACAAGTAATGATTGAAAAATAAAAACAGTTCTGTGAAGAAAGAAAAAAAAAAAAAAAAAAAAAAATACAATTCCTATTCCTATATACATCAACTGATGGCATTCCCAAATTGCTGAATGCATCTAGGTTGAAGTTTTAGTCATTGGCAGATTAAGGGAAATTTTTATAACTAAGATTTTCAATTAGAGTTGTTTAACATAATGATATCCTAATGACATCTCACTTGTGTAATTCTTTCATTCATAATTCAAAAATAAGCTTTTAAGTGGGCGCCTGAGGGTGTCGTCAGTGATGTTATTTGACTTGGTTCATCAGGGACTTTCGGGTCTTTAAACATCATACTCCCCATCACTAAATCGACCCAATCAGGGGAGATCAATCCCTGATTCCCCATCACAATCAAACACTAACAGCTACTCTGGCCTTTTTAAAGAATTAGACGAAGAAAGACCACGTATTCCACACATTCAATTGGATGTTTGTAACAACCAATCCGCTGCGCGAACTATCTTTTAAATGGCCCATGGTGGGGACTGGCTTCTTTTCTTTTTCAGTGGATAGCAGTTTCAATGGATAACCAAGGAGGTAATCTTAATGTTCCTAAGTTTAACCCTTTTCCTTAAGTATTGTACAGTATAATATTCGCCGTTTTTATTCTATTTGTGCTTTTTTTTTTTTTTTAGGGGGGCTTAAACTCAACCCTACTATCACATTTTATCGTTTAGCCCGATTCTTAACATTATTACAGGTTAACTTTATATGGATGTATTCGACAAGTTAAAATAATTGTCCATAAACACGGCGTATATTTTTTCTTTCCCTGTACACACAAAAAATAAACTCTACTAGTTTCATAATTTCCTGTTGTAGCAAACTAACACAGAAGGCAAAAAGGCCCAGAATTGCATGCATTTTTTGCAATATAAAAGAAGGGCATAACAAGGTGACATCAAACAGGTGTCACTCGGTCAGTAGAGTGTTTGACTAAAGGAAACAGATTGCAGGAATTGTTGACAAGCCAGAAGAAAGTAAAAGTTTACAAACTTTTCACTACACCTGCCAACTACAATCTTTGAAAATTTAAATCTAACTTCAATTGTCTTCTTTTTTAAATCCTGTTCTTTTCTTGTCATTTCACATTGATAACATTTTATCAGTTTATTTCACATTCAATAACTCTCTGCTTCTTAGTGAAAAACCCAAAGAATGAGTTTTGAGAAGAAACAATGTTGCTAAATTAGAGTCTCAAAAAAAAAAAAAAATATCCTGACTTTACTTGCTGTTATTGGAGAAGAACATAATTTTCTTTTATTAAGAACAGCTAACATTAAACATGCATAATATATATTTAATTGACCCGAGTGAATTTGCCCTTATATGGTATATTCTACCATATTTGGTAACCACCCCTCCTGTGTTCTTCCCAACCTGCTGCTATCATTAATATTATTGTATTACTTTATAATACAAGATGCAGGTGGACTTTTCTTTGAATGAATATCATATTGCTTCCTTTACTGCCTGACAAGTGTGTGACTGTAACATTTACCAAATTTGCATCTACATGAAACTTAGTTGTGGACAACAGTAAAATCTAACTACTGTTTTTTTTTCTTATATATTTTGTTTGCTGTTTTTTGTATATATTATATACCTCACATTGAGCACCATGTTTTTAGTGTCTATAAATTCTACCATATATATATATATATATATATATATATATATATATATATATTTATATATATATAATTTAAAAAAAATAGACCACTTTTAAGGTACCATTACAATAATTTATTTCACCAAAATCCTTTTTAAAGGACTCGGATCATCAGGTAACACTTCCAACAACAAAATGAAAGGAAAAATGGGATTAGAAATTGATGGGTAGTGTAATTTTTGTAATTTAACGGGGAGGGTGATAGTTGTAGTTAACGAGACAAGGTATTGTCTCGTTAACTACAGCCATTACCAAGTTCTTTTACAGGAACAGCCTTTTACAACCCGTTTACCAAGTTCTTTGTAACACACACACACACACACATATATATATATATATAAATATATTTTCTGTTTATACATTATTTTTATAGATACAAATATTTAAGTAAATGCTCTGTTTATAATAAACAGTATTAACAACATTTACCGGCCTGAATGTCTGAGAAATCTCATAGAAAATATGTGCCCTCTAATAGGAATCCAACCTGTATCCTACATGGAACCGTCATATAGCCTGGCGCGCTATACCATTTAGCTACAGAGTAAGCGTGTAGTTAGCAAGGTTAAATTACAGTATTTAAAGATGCACTTTGAGCAGATATGAGCATTCGAGAGAAATCATGGGAAATTTGCAGTTTAAAAACAGTAATTTAACTTTGCTAACCAGACGCTTCCTCTGTAGATAAATAGTATAGCATGTGAGGCTATATGACAGTTCAATCTAGGATACAGATTTAATTCCTGTTGGAGAGGACATATTTTCTATGAGATTTCTAGGACATTCAGGCCGGTAAATGTTGTTAATACTGTTTATCATAAACAGAGCATTTACTTAAATACTTGTATCAATAAAAATAATGTATAAGCAGAAAATATATTAAAATAATTGTTGGAGTTAGTAGTCCGTTTAATAAATTTTGAAAGGATTTAAAAAAAAAAAAAAAAAAAGGCTGTTCCTGTAAATTCAAGACTCATTTCAAGCTTATATTTGCACTGGAGCTGCCCAACCCTCATTTTTCAGCCATGACAGAGCTTAAAAGAGTTTAAGTGGCCTTTAAAATTTTTTTGAGATAATTTCTTTTCCAGATACAAGTTTTACTATTTAACCCATAGCTGGGAGGAGAAAAGGTGGATTCATACATTTCTCAATAATAAGAGAATATTTGTTAATAAGTGAATGTAATAAACTCGATTAGAATTTGAACTCACTTCTCCAATTTCTCATTCTGAGCCACTATCCATGAAACCACCCTCACATACTAAAAAGAATAACTAACATAAACGAAAGTCATTTGTAATTGAACATGAATAATTTACCAGTGTTAAAAATAAATCATTATACTATAATTGGTAGCACCTCAACATCTATATGGGACATGTAGCTTAGATAAATAATTAGCAAGCTGAGTCAGAAGAATGAAGTTCCATTCTCAGATGTCCTATTCTTGTAGCCTTGTGCCAGACTAAATTGAAGTTTGTAAATATCTATAAGCATCATGTAAAATCTATATCTTTTCTCCTCTTGACAACCCAACAAGACTGTCCTTTTATCACTTCTGAAGTAATTTACATATAAGTAAGGAATATACTTCTGGTTACATTTACACAGGAAAACAACAGGTTGGAATTAGGTATGGGATAGTCAGAATTTTAATTTGATAAAGAAGAAGAAAAAAAAAAATCTTACCTTAAAAATAGTAAAATGAGAATTATACAAGCACAAAAAAAAACAAAAAAAAAACAGAAAAATTAAAACTTGTACAAAGAAAATGAAAAATTCTTGTAAAACCAGATGTTACTCCTAAAGGTAAGTAACACAGGAGTTCTTAAACAATCCAGGTTTTGTTTTTTTATGGCATCACTATGTCCCCCTAAATCTGGTATCAGAAAACCAGCCTAGGTCTACTGCAATGCAGAACATAAATAATTTCTAAATACAAAAAAAAGCTTAATGCTCTATAGCAACAATATACAAGAAATTTAACCATTTTTAAATTTCTCAAACCTTTGGGTTACTCTTCATACATAAACTTACCCTCATTTTTTTCCTGGCTTTAGCTTCTGCTACCTTTTTGATTGGCCGAGCATCAACTGCTTTCAACATTTCCTTATATTCTTGGACCTCAGCCTGAAGATAAAATATATATATATATATATATATATATATACATCAACTTAAAATAAGGCAGAAATTTTAATAGAGATAAAATTTTCTTTTAAGAGAAAAAAAAAAATTACTTTTCAAAAATCAAAATTAAGGAAAAATAATAAAATAAAAATAATTGCACATGGGGTAAATTTTTGTACATTGATTGTTCAGATATTGTGTCACCAACTTGCTTGTTACTGTCATAATGTTTCAGCTATTATGCTCTACAGTCTTCTGTTGTAGCTGACTGGTAACTTTCTAGAAATTTTGAACCTGTCTGAAGCCTTTATTCAATCTACTAGCAGTATAACCCATCTTTGACAGGGTCTTTCATTACTGGGAATTTTTACCATTCAATTGGAGCAGTTTAAGTTTAAAGTCAGCCCACCTGAAAATCAGTATTAATAACAACAATTGGGTGCAACTGAGGCATGTCCCTATAAGGAGAGATTAATAATTTGAAGGGGAGTGGCCCTGAAAAGGGCCGTTTTTATGTTCTCAATCTTGTTACAGCCTCACACGCAGAAGCAGCTGAAGAGGCATTTCTCCTCAGCCATCAAGTCCTTTGATCATTTTCAGCCTTGTGCGCAGAAGCATTCAGGTATGCATTTCTGGAAAGCAGATGGACTCAGCTCTGATTGAAGCATTCCAAGAGGCATTTTGAGACAGGCAAACTGAACATTCTAAAACCGATTTGTTATCTCTTATTTGCATGATGGATCTGGCGGCAGTGGTTTTGTGACATAGGCAAGATCTTTTCTTTGCTGGCATGTCTTAGGCAAGTATGAATTGTCAAATGGAATGCGTGGGCAAATACCAGAAGATAACACTGTAAAGCTACAGGAATCACTAAGCTCAAATAACTTTAGGAAAGGTTTAGGAAAATAAATGTTGAGTAATAAAAAACCAAGCTTACTTACTACTACGCTGAATGCAATGCAAAAACTGGCAGGACAATAAAAATTTAAATTGGGAACGGCTATAAATGACAATGAAAGCAATGCCTTAAAACTGCAGTAGTAGGATTTATGCAACGGAAAAGGTAATCTCACTTGAGAGAGATTAAATGTTTGGCCAAGAGAAGGGGAATGTGTAATTTGGACTCAAAACCAGCACTGAAGAATTATCTATCAAACAAAAAAAATTTCATTGAAATCGGATGAAAACTGAGGAAATGCATAAACAACATCCAATCACACACATACATTTTGAGAATTATAAATATAGATAATATTATTGTAATAATTTAAAGTATTTATTTTTATCAAAGTTTTTATGAAAGATATATATCCAAGAACAGACAGTAAATAGTAAAACGTTGCTGAGAGTTATAATGAACAGGAAGTAGTGGAGAGCCATTGTCACCAACAATTTGAACTAAAAACTGGCACTGAAGAATTATCTGTCAAACAAAAAGAATTCATCGAAATCAGATGAAAACTGTGGAAACTTATAAACAACATCCAATTACACACACGCATACATACATACATTTTTGAGAATTATAGATATGGATAAGGGTAGATTGTTGCCATGTTAAAGAGCAGCCAGTGTCTGTTTATTCTGTAGAGTTAATTCAACTTTGTGATATCGTTTCTTTTTCCACTGTACCAGAGTATACAGCATTTTTGCAGCACTACCCAACCTAGAAATTGAACTTCTGACTGCCAGGTAACTCAAATCACTTAACCAATACTTTTTAGCTTCATATGCCCTGCGAAACAACTTACCATTTGCCTGACTTGTCAACTGAGCCAGAGCATATGATATGTAATGTGATGGTGGAATATTTCAATTTTTTTAAGTTTACAGTTCTTTTTCAACCAAAGGTTTCTGCATGGCACTCATTGCTAGGCCTACTCAGGACATTATTAGACCTTAATGCACAGATTCCTTCAATCACCTTATTTTCATGTTATGTTCTCAATTATTTTGAATTCCTTACATTTTTTTAATCATTTCACCCCAAGCAAGTCAATAAAGCCTCTAAGACACTAAATCTAAGTTACTAAATCTGAGAGAATATGAAGAAAACAAAACTAAATCTGAGAGAATATGAAGAAAACAAAACTAAATCTGAGAGAATATGAAGAAAACAAAACTTAAGGAGAGAAAACAATAAAACAACAGACTTGGAAGCAAGAAGCCAGAAGAGAGTTCCACAAGCAAGAAGCAAAGAGTTGAAACTGTTAGCATAGAACCTACTGTTACATCTATCCATTTCAACTGTAAAATGATGAGGCCTTGTTGCCAAGTGAGTACTGCACTTAAATTCAGAAAGTCTAGGTACCATAAAGCAAAGTTCATCAGAAAAATTACCATGAGAGTATTTAGAGAAAAGGCACAGAGAAGCTAAGTTAAAGGGACTGAAGCAGAGATACCAGGTCAGGAACAATAACATTGCAGATTCTTTGTATTTTTCAAGAATCTCTAAATACATATCAGAAGCACCAGGCTAGATGTGACAGCAATATTCAAAGCATAGATGAATAATAGATTTATATGTAAGATAGACTCTGGCAAGAAAAATTGTCTAGCATGACACAGTGAACCAACTTTCTTCAAAGAAAACCTAACAATTGATTCAATATAATCACTCCACTTCAGTGGATAACATTAGCCTGAGAAGGTGCATGGAATCGCTCTTCTGGAGGTTAGCGTCAGCCATTCCATAGGCTGTAATGTTCTTAATTAAAAGCTTTCATATAGTGTTCATTTCTATGCTAGGCTTATTAAGGAGTTTATTAGAGCCTAATGTATGGATTCTTTCAAATCACCTTATTTTCCACTGTTGTTTTCTGTTTTTCTCACTAGATTCCATAGAGTTGGTGAATCCTCATACTCTATTCTTTCACAAATGTTCAGCCATGTCTGATTTCATCATCAGACTCCAGATTGAGGCTTTTCTTTAATCTTACTGTTGCAAAGAGACTTGTCTCACCTCTCGAGTGACTGCTACAATTGCACAAAATGGAATATAATTCTAGATCACATTTTTTGGGGCATCACTCAAAGCAACCAATTATTTGCTTTACTATAACCAGTTTTTAAGAATAAAGACAATAGTCATGAATTTTTTGGATTCAAAGATCCTAATTATAAACTTTACCAAAGCAGTTGAATAACTAAAAACTTTTTTCTTTGTAATTTAAATTTTATAGTAATTATTTTAAATTGTTTCATTTTTTGAATTTGAAGTATATTTTTCATGAATTCTAGACCAAATTACATGATAGAATATACAGGAAAATCCAAGTAAAAGTTTACATAAATGAAAATGTTGCCAATGAAGTTTCTTAGATGTATGAAAGAAATCTATTTTGGAATTGGTAAGAAAAAAGAAAAAAAAAAAAAAAAAACAGAAAATATTAAAATTTTAAATACTTTTAAGCTAGAGTTATTGAAATCAAAATAATTTTTGTAGAGCAGAAATATTTTTTTAGGGTTTCAATCCAAGAGAAGCTTATCTCATAGATTAGGAGCTGCCAAACATGCTTTGCTACAATGACACATAAAATAAACATATCAGATGTTTGGAAAGCATAAAAAAAAAAAAGACTTATTTGTAAGCCCTGTTGACCAAGACATTTCTTCAGTCTACCTGTTCTTAGTCCATCTCTCAGAAGGACTTTCTCAAATCTAGCATTAAAATAGGATTTTTTAAACATTTTTTCATTTTAACTAATTATGATTATTTGTTTGAATTTCTGGGATGAGGAGTTTATCATTATTTACTGCATTTGATGGCATATAAGGTGTACTTTTTTTTTTTTTTTACTAAAAATATCTTTTAAAATTCCCCTGCATCTTATATGCCATATGTAAGTTTAAAATTCGTGATTGTTGTTGTGAAATCTTTTAAAAAGTGTGGCATTAGCAATGCTCTCAATGGAACGGAAGATGACACATTATTTAACGACGATGATAGTAGTGCTGCAAATGAGTATCAGAATTTTGATAACAATGATTTCATGGATTTGAAGATGAATAAAATTTTAATGCTAACTGTACTGTTTTGCTCAATTGTAATAATTGCTTGACTTTTATTTTGTTTTCTTACCTTTGGATATAATAAAGTTTTTATAGGCTCGTGTTCTTTTTTCCCCTATTATTTTTTCTTTAATTGTAATCATAGCTTGTTTAACCAATATAAATATAGCCCAGGCTGTTCAATTTACTAATAATTTTACTAATTACTAATTTTTTTCTTGATTTGCCCTGGTGAAATTGGGGTGCGTCTTATACACCATCAAATATGGTACATTATTTGCACTTGGACTATTGCTCTTATTTTTGTTGTCGTTATCACTACATTTCGGCTATTGTGCAATCTGTTCTTCTTCAGGTATATGTCAATCTGAGTAACGGGGGAAAATGATGAAAGGGACTAGGGTGACACTGTCTTAAGTCGGCTATTTTTTCATTTCTGGACAGACTTTGTAAATTAAAAGGCATAATATTGTTAGCAGGGTTGAAGGTAAAAAGAAGCAAACTGATTTTATGTGTAAGACATACAGACTTTCTTTCCAAAAAATAATTAAACAAAGACCATAATGCCATCTGAATGTCTTGTTAATTTAGCATCTTTCTGTCCCCCCAGATCTGGTACAAAAAGCAACCAGTCTAGGTCTACTGGGATGCACACCAAATTCCTTTATACACTAAATAAGACTTCAATAAAAGAAGTGCGAAAAGTACCATTCTGTGTCACTATGCAAAGAGTAATGTTAAAAAAGAAAGAAAGAAAGAAAGAAAAGGTTAGATTAAATGTTTTGTTCTTCCGGCCAGTATGCTCATCTTTGTTCTTATGCACACATTTTAGTAGCTGCACCCGCCAACATTCTTTAGGTGCCCATTGCTATATGCAGTAACCATCTTGAAATTTCAAACTTTATTCCATTCACAAAGTAAACCTGGCAGCTGCATTTGAAAAGGACTTCCAATCAATGCTTAACTGGGGCAAGGAATGGCTTGTAAAT